TTCCTGAAGATCGTGGCTGTACTCACTGAACTGCGCAGCATCAATGCCCAGCACACCCAGAGGCTGCTGCGCATCCAAGACACACACCCCTTCGCCACACCCCTCATGAGAGAGTTGTTCAGCCCCACAGATGGCTGAGTGGCTGCTCTTGGGTGGAGCCTCGGTGGGACAGCCAGACCAGAGCTCGCCAARCTGCCATTTCTGGGGCTAGACAGATGGACACCACAGCTGGCTAGCATTCCTCAAAGAGGGGACTTGAGTCTCCCAGTCCTCAGTTCAGACTGTGGACAGGGAAGCCATGGACCCTATGTGCAGCATGAGCTGGCCTATTTAGGTCAGGACCGTTAGCGATGCCAGGTTGCCCTTCCCTTAGACAAAGTTCTGTGGTCCAGTAATAAATCCCCAAATCCCACTAAATCCCTTGAAGTATTGTGGTGGGTGGAGGGGAAGGAGCTAGAGGCTGGGTTTCCATCAATACCCCAGATTACAGGCTTGAGTCTTTTCACTGCTACCTCTAAAGGTCCTGCCTTCCACTCCCCGCTCATTCCCATCCTCAGCCTCTTGCCCTGAGTTGCCAGGTGGGTTCCAGGCCTGTGCTCATCAGCAGGTGCATGTCTGTGGTGTCTTTGAGAGAAGCTGAGAAGCCTGCACTGAATGTCAGAAAGTGGTCATAACCTCAAGCTGAGCACTTCATTCTGTGTCTCTGCATCTACTCAAACCCATCATTAAGCACCAACACTGTGCAGCCTGCTGTGGGGTGGTGTACAGTGTTGATTTAGATGTGGATCCTGACCTTGAATAGTTCATATTTATGACAACAAAAGCTGAAACACCAATGATGCAGACCAAAAGGACAATCCACACATAAGAAGCAAGAGGAACATTTTTGTGTGGATGTTGAGCTGCACTGAGATTTTGTGGGCACCTGGGCCCAGTGAAGACTCAGTCCCTAGGATGTGCTTATGGAAAGAAGGGATGGGAACTGTGTCTGTGGGTACCTGTGTGTGAGTTAGCACAGGTCTATCTGCTCTCCATCTGACTGGGCCTGGGTTTGCTCCTGAGGCTGGTTAACACTTGTGTGCTGTGACAAGGCTACAGTGACAGTGAATAAATGTGCTAGAGTAAAACCACTTGCACGCACTCGTATTCCTGTGTCAATATGCTGTTCTCCAAACTGAAAAATGTGGGAGTGTCAGCCTTGTTATAGCTATTTGTGAGTAAAACTGTTTGCATTGTCACAAGTTTAATTTTACATAAGGCACTTAATACATTATTTACATTATTATCTTAATAAGATAACATATTATTATCTTATTAATTTAATAAGGCATTTAATAGTTTTAGCAAATGTGTTCCTGGTTTAATGTCAAATCAAGGAAAAAGGTTTGGCTAAAGATGTAAAAAAATGTTGGCATTCTAATCTGGGGAAGAAAGAAATGTGGGAGTGGGGAAGTAGAAATAAAAATACAGACACACACATATATACATTTTTTTCACTACTTATTGCCTTTTATACATCGGAAAACCGTTGGTCTAAGAACATACAAATGAATTAACTTGATTTACTCATAAAATAATTGTTCTGAATTAAAGTTTAAAGGATATACACATCATAATTAAAATGCAAATGAATTAATTTTAAATGTTTAATATTTGGTTGCAAATGAAGCTGTAAGGTAAACTGAATTTTAAGAAACAGATAATTGCTTAGTTTTCACCATTTTATTAAAAGCAGGGCAACGTTGAAAACATTAAGAAATCAATAATACAAATCAAAGAAGTAAACATATTCCCTGACATCCCTCCAGTTTCACCAACCTTCTCTGCATCAAGGAGATAAAGTACCCATTTTTAGAGAAAAACCCAAGGAAAAATAAAGTGCCTCTCTACAAGCTCAATAAATACAGCTTTTGCTCCCAGGAATTTCAACTAATTTAATTTTTACTCAGTTAGAAATGTAAGTTTATAATTTGGAGATATACATTTCATTCAACTATATTCACCAGTAATGTATGCCCCTTCCTTTCCCTGGAGGAAATAACTTTTTGAGTGTGCTATTCACCCAAGTGGCTGAAATTGTTGTTGGATGTAGGTTAGAGTAAGGCAAAGTTAAGGTGAGATTAAGATGGGTCAACTCCCCTCCCCCAGTTTTGTTTTTAAAAACACCCAGGCAGCTCCCCAATATTAAACAAATATGTACGTATGGTTTATATAAATTATGAAAACTAAGTGTATTTCAAGAGAAAAGATTCAAAGTTAGATGCACCAAAGAGCTCTCACAGGATACTTCCTTTCAGCAGCTTTGTGGATCTCAAGTTTATAGGACTAGGAGCCAGGTTCAATTTATCTACCCCCCAAATAATTTGGATTTCCTTTTTACTCACTACCCTGAGCTTTTGAGCAAATAGAACTAAGCATCWACTTCTAGGCATTTCTGTAGTTACGGATCTCTTTTTCTAGTACCTGGTTAAGTCAGGAAAAGATGAAGTTAATCTCCAAGGCTACTGCTTACCTCCTGGCTCCCCTGTCAGTCAGAGTCACTCAGTGGTCTCTCTCACCTTKTCCCAGACTTTGTCTAAAGTTGTCAAAGACAAATCTTCACTTGGGAGAAGGCCCAGAGTGGCTTTTTTTTTTTTTTTTTAGAGAGGTTATAAAGAAAAACATTTCATCATCAGCCTTTCTCACTCCAGACTCAGTGGCCTCTTCCTGCATGCCCCCTTCCTCAGCAGCTTGTTGATCCCTCCTTGCTTCCCTTTATGTGTCCATAGCTGCCGTGAATCTGATGGTGCTGATGGGTTGGATTAACTACTTCTATACCTGAGGAATGGGTGACCATCCACTGCTTTTGTTCACTTGCTTTCACAAAAAATAGCATCTAGAAATGTGAATCCCAAAGGACTGTATGGTCATCACATTTTGGAAGGACTTGGACACTAAACAGGGAGTCTTCCAGGATTCCAAGTTAACGCAGCTTCTTGCAGGACACTTAATGCCAATTCAAACAGCTAAGGTAGAATCTACACAAGATGGCAAAAATGCATTTCAGTGCCACCAAGAAGCCCATCCCAAAAGTAACATCTTACATGTTTTTGCTGACCCAGCCCTCCCCTACCACTAGTAACTGCATTTAACCATTTACAAATGTGATTGATTTTGCCCATCCCACATCAGTAAATAAAAGGACCACACTTTATCGAATATAAATTTGTTTTTATTGAAGCAGCAGTCACATGACCTTATAGCTAGTCTTTAGATTAGGCCTGACAGTTTGCCAGTCCTAAAAAATGTTTCTTTTGCACTAAGAGACATAACATGTTTACATACATTATCCAGTATTAGCAATGAGCAGACTCAAAAACAACATGTTGGTTACCTGGGAGGTAAAGCCAACAGTTTGTGGTGTTCATATATTTTACAGAGACCCCCAAAGACCATTACTAATAGGATAAAGAAAATACAGCTACACCAAACCATGAACACACAGTAATCGAAGACAGCAGCTCTTACACATTTTTACAACTGTCCCTTTTAGGGACGTTTCCTTTGTTTTCAAAGCAGTGTCTACAAAGCTTCCTCTACATCAAATCCAAAGGTTTCCAAGCTGGAAGCTGCACCTCTTGTGGCTAATACAGTGGAGTAAGGTCATTTGAAACAATGAGATGTGGTGTTCATACCTTGATTTTTTATAATAAAGATTCATGTTTCCCTAATTAAAGATGGTGATGTGACTACTTACTGCAGTGGCAAAATAGGGTGAAGAGAGGGATGGGTACTGAAATAAAGACCACACACTTGTGAATTTTAATTTCATTTCCAGGCTAACCTACTTTTTATTTAATGCAAATTACAGTACCAGTTAACTATTTCCAAACCAAGTCACATAGAACGAAATGTATTTACAAGGGAATGGGGAAAGGGCAAAAAAACATTGAGCATACTTTTCACAAAAAAGGTTTATATTTAAAATGAAAAAAAAATTCAGTCACAGAGGCATTCAAGTAGTAATAATGTTATACAGATTTTGTTTTTCCTTTATATCAAGACAGATTTGCACAAGTGTTTGCAATAGTTTGTATACAACCCACAGTCCTTTATATATATATATATATATATATATAATAAATTTTGTTTTTTAGATTCGTATTTAAGATGGAAGTGGTCACGCTAATTGGTATGTGTACAGGCCCAAGTGATCCATCGGCAACACACTTATAAATGCAAATTTTACAGGCAAGCACATTTTCATACATCTATCTGCCTGTAGACAGATATAAGAAAAAAACTTAAAAATTAACACAAGGAAGTCTACTTTGTCAAGCTAACCCCTTATGTACTGGTTGTCATTTTGCTTTTATTGCAGAGGTGCAAAACGGAGCAAAAACTCTAATAATAAACAGCATAATCCTTGTGAAAATAATCCAAACCCCAGGGATTACTTTCATAGCCTCTAAGGAAGACCTTAATCTGGGACTCTACTGTGCTTCTAGTTGTCTCTTTATTTTCAGTGGCTCAGGTTTCTACCAGAAAGACAGGTTTTATTGTAGAGCATGCTTATTTTTCTATAGAGGGGAGAAAAGTGTTTTGTCTCTGTGATTAGATGATCACTAACATGAACAATATGAATCAGGTACAATTTTGGTTTAAACCAAAGAAAAACCCCCAAACTCCTGGGGATCTGGCATTGGCCAACTTCCTTTGGAAGATTCCAAAGTTAAATCCTTTAAAAAGGAAAGAGAAAAGAAATGAAATGCCAGTGTCTTTATATCCACAGGGATAGACAATATAATAGTCCTCTCAGAAACCTTAGCATTGGTGCAGATGAGATGATTAGTCAGGCATACTTTATTCAAACACAAACCAAGATGGGTGTAAAAATTAAGAGGACTTTTAAAATGACACATGTCATTGGAAAGAAGGTGCAGTCTTCTACCTTGCTGGAATGAACACATGATGTTTCAAAAATAGCAACCTTTGGTTTGGTAAAGTGTTTTTTTCTTCTATTCAAGACATTTTATATGGAGTACTTGGAGGCAAAACAAAAAAATATATATATATWTTTTTTTTTCCAAAAAAGGCCTTCATGTTGGGCACACAGTCAAAATTAAACTGATTTAAAAAATTAAAATGACATGTCATTGAACAGGGTAGAGATGGCAGGAGGGAGAGAATGGGTTGAGTTCCCTTGTTAGAACAGCCTTCTATGGGCATGGTGGCATTCTGTGCAGTTAACTGCAAGCCATTGCAAGACAGAATTTTAGACCATTGATGTATCAAAACCCAACACTAAACCAGTTTTCTCTCCCTGTGTCATTTGGGAGGGAAGTCGGTAAGGGGGCTGGTGCGAGGAGGTGGGGAGGGAGGGAGGAAGAAGAGTGAGCGCCTGCTCGAGCATGGAAGGCTCCTAGAATCTGCTGTTTGTAAAACCCATGGTTAGGGCTTGTGGAAGAGATAAACAAAATCTAATCTATTGATATCCTCCAGCTCTAGGGCTCCATGTGTTATACTAAGTCCCTGAATGGACCAAGTATCAAATGAAACGGTCATTGCTACCGAGGAGGAAACAGACATTCAGAACTAAAACAAATGCAGGGCTTGAATAAAATGAGATTATGAACATGGTTTCCTCTTCCCACTCCTGAGCATGGTATCACCGAAACTTAATTTTGGAGGGGGCAAAGATATTGTTGTGAGTTATTATTTCAAAGGGAAAGGGAATGGACAGGGAGAYGTGGATAAAGGAAACCAAATAAAATTTTTTAAATGAAAAATAAAAATAAAAACAAACAAAAAAACCAAACACATGGAAGCGAAGGCACTCCAAACTATATAGATACACTATACATTGCTAGAGTTATTGTTACAATAATACAGGMCGGTACCTACTGTACAGAGTTAAAACTATATGGCTTTAAAAAGCTCGTCTACATTTTGTCTGATTATTAAACAGAATCACTGCCCTGAACAGTAACTTTTTGCTCATTAATAACAGTTCCTGGGTCCACATATTTACATACAAAACAATAAAACTTAAATTTAAGAACACTGAAAGAAAATATAATGTACAAGCTTGAATTTGGTGAGGAGCTTTTAATTATTATTATTATATTTACAAAAAGATATCCAGAGACCTGGATCTCACTTGTATAAAAGAGTTCTGTGATCCCGCCATGATCCGTGAGAAAGAAAAATCATGCACCCCGGCGCACACGCGCACACATACACACACACTCACACATTCACACACACACACACACACACACACTGAGAGAAAAGCATCTGACTTTTCTCTCTTCTTCTCTTACCCCATTTATGGGGGGAAAAGTGTTTTCTAAAATAAGTACTGATTTTTATGGACTCCAGCAAGTATACCAAGTCCAGAGTAGTGTTCGTATCCAAACATCTGACTGGGCAGTTTGATCTGAAAACAGGTCCATTTCTCTGTCATAGACCTACTTGTTCAGATTCTTTATAAATCTTTTCTGTAATGGTCTATAGTTCCTTTAAGGAACTATGCTGCCAAATACTTTCAGATTTTTTTCAATCTTAACTAGCTCTCAGAAGCACTTTATAAAAAGTAAAATTCACCATTTTATTTGGTTTGACTGAACATTATCTTTTCTCATGAACTCTGATATAATAAGAGGTTTAAGAAACCCCTTTTGTGGCCCAAGAGCTTAGCTAAACAGTGAGTGAACACTAAGATGGCTCACAGTTGTCTTTCTGGGTGTCAATTCACTTCAGCAGGCAGCATAACTCTCTTGGAGAGTTGCACACAAAGTCAAGAAGCAGGACAGGGTGCAGGGCCTGCACGTGGGCTGCCAAGAGACTCCACTTCCTAACCACCTGGAGGGCGAGACCCCAACATGACCTAAGTGGCAATGAGGAGGGTGAAAGGAGATTATACACAATCTAGAGTTCAGCTCTGCAGCCCTACAATTATCAGCTAACCTTGGAAGGTGTGTGGGGAAGGAGAGGGCAGGAGGAAAAAGTGGCCATCACTCAAGTGATCTTTTAAAWGTAAAATATAACTGATTGTGCCTTAAAGATTCATAGGTCAAGTAATGGCCCATAAGCACCAAGGTGACTAAGGTTCATTTTAGAGTATATAAGGCCCACATAGATACCAACCTTAAAAGTATAAAACAAAGTAGTTGTGAAGATCTATCTCTTTACTGCAAACATAATTCTTCAATCTTCCTTGCTTTCCAAGGAATATTGCTTTTTTTTTTCCCCAAAAAACAATAGACTGATTCTTACACCATTCACTGATAAAGAAAATAGAAACAAAACTCTTAACTGGGTGTGTGTGGGGAAACATTCTTCTCATGCTTCAACCAGTCAATTTTGATACTGGAGACAAAAAAGAAAAGGCAGTATTGAGTATCTGTATATATAACTATATACACACATTTATAGCATCAGTTTCCCTATGAAGTCAGCAGGTATGTACAGGTGACTATATAATTTTGATAGGTAGTTTTTAATATTCCTACCACCTAAAATCATAATGGCCTATTGGGCATGCATCAATAAATAAATTTTAAAAGCATGAGGTTAAAAAAGCTAAAATTAAATAGAGTCTAGATTTGGATTTAAAATTATAACTACGTGTAGAAGGTGGCAATTCCTAAAAACTTGTTTTTCAATTAGAAAGATGAGAAATAAAGCAGTAGACTGTTACAGTTCACATTACTTAACTATAATGTCCTCTCTCAAGTGTATCTTTCCAAGGGAAGTAACTTTAGAAAAAAATCTGGATGAATTCATTCACAGTGGTGAGATCTGCCCCAGCCTGTGTCCTTCCTCTAGTCTCACCAGGTGCCTTTGACCTGTGCAGCCAGTATAGCCTGTTCAACACCCTTTCCAATCCCCTTCTAGGTCACTAATTTAAAACTGTACAAAGATTTGCAGAGAACCTTTGGTCAGGCAAAACAAAAACAAAAACAAAACCCCATTATGGAACTAGAGTTCTGCTTGCTGCTCCCCTTTGGGAGCCTGCTATACCAGCTTTCTCACCACTAGTACTGACTAAGAACAAAACCAAACTTAACCAATCAATTCAGTATCTCCCCCTTACAGCTTCAAACTTTATTGACCTACCTGGGTTACAAATGATACACATTTCCTTTTTTGTCTGTCACACCTGCCACCAACATGCCAAAGCCAAGTCTTGAAATACCCGAGGATATGGATTAATTTTACAAGTGACATGTAAGCCCCTGTTGAGTTATACCTGCTAAGCTCCCAACCAATTTCAAGCTGTGCACTATGCCAAAGTCTGACACTAGACTTGAAAAGAAAACAAAGTTCAAACAAAACAAAACAAACACTTCAGTACAGAACAAGGTTTCTTCTCTTGTGGAAGGGGCATGAGGCAGGAGTCCTGTTTTTAAAGTGTACAACAGCAGACTTTTGATTAAAAAAAAAAAAAAAAAAGATTGTCGTGGGAGAGAGATTGTGTCTTCTAGTGCTCCGCTTTCCCCCTCCCATTACCCCTCCCACCCTCTGGGTCTCCCACAAAGTGAGAATACAATGAAATTGTTTTGTATTTATAGATATCTTACAAGGTTAAATAAGAACAACAATAATAATAAAAAAAATTGAACACTAAAATGAACAGGTTTTTTTTTTCTCTTTTTAATTTTCTTTCCAAACGTGACCAGTGTTGCTGAGTGACACTCAAGTACTGGTGGTTTTTCCTGTGCAGCTGACTGCTTGGGACTGTTCAGGTGGAGTTGGAAGCTGACGCAGAAGCAGCATTATTGGTCTGTCCACGGTCTCCAGCATTAGCATCTGCAAATTCAAAGTCCCAAGAGAGTATGAACAATGGCATAATTCTCTAAAGAAAACAAGTACATTGCCTTCACTGCAGACTGTGAGCTGTTGTGGCCTTCCAAACTGTTTTCTGACATGTTGGTTTAAATATGGCCAACAGTTTGACATCTAAATTTCTTCCTGTTTAGAAGCTAAAGTACATGACTTGGCAAGGTCCTGGTGCAGAGGAGACAGTGACTTTGATTAAATTATCAACTCAGGRACTCAGAGACCATTCCTGTGAATGCTCTTACTATAGCTGGGATCAGTAGTTCATGAAGACTCAGTTGGAGAGGGGCTTACCTGAAAACAAATGAATAGCACGTAGCTTGGAAAACTTACTAAAAATCCTGAATCATGTTATAATATACTATCTGCTTGGTGAATGGATGAAGAAAATGAAAGTAATATGGGTCAGTGTTGATAGGCAGAAGAAGTACTGCATATAAACCAAACTCAGTTGCTTGTTTTCTAAGTATAGCCACTCTTCATTATTCATAGAGATGAAAGASAGCAAAAAAGAAATAGTCACTATGGTACCAATTTACTTAATACAATACAGTAAAGCATCCTGTAGTCAAATATGTTGGACTAATAACTTATCTTGCCTGATCCTCTACAAATGTGTATATTAACAACCAACTTTTATCCCCATTTCCCCTCTTTTAAAGAACCATTATTATTTTATAGCATCCATTAACTAAATGGCCATCTAGTTGTTTCCAGATTGGCTCTCCATCCTGGATAGGGAATAGCCTGCTATTTCAGTGGTTAATCATTTGCCTCATACACAACCACCAGGAATATACTGTTGGTCAATTTTTCTCACAAATATTTCATTTTTTTCCCAGAGAAAGAGAGGTTGCTTTACTGGGATGGGCAACTTCCAAGAGCTATATCTCCTTAGAAGCCACACTGCTCTTGGTCATCAAGGCTGGTAACACCAAAAAGCAGACCCAGAAGCTTTTGTCTGTCAGGAACCTTTAAAGGGATCTGCAATCACGCTTGTCCTATGATAGGCAGAGTAACCAATGTCACAAATGAATGCAAACATCTGGTCTTGGATCTTTCTACTTTGAATTTCTGAATTAGAGTGAGACACAAAAGACCCACAAGGACACAAAGGAACTTTATTACTTAAGGATTAGCTATTCAGTTATCATTTCTATAGCCACTCTATATAATACTATACTTCCTTTCTAAATCTGCCCTTATATACATTTAACTAAATCTTTGGGAAAAGAAATGAGAATACCTCTTAATTTGAATGGTTATAGTTAATTCATTTAATTTCTTCAAAACACCTGCAGCTGCTTCTAGTACTGCTGTTGTGTAAATAAGTGCAACATCAGAGTCCATGCTAATGGTTTATATTGTCCATGGCTGGAGTCATCCTAATTYATCAGTAATAAGGTCCATGAGTAAGCTGCACGAGAGAGCCTGGGACACAGAACTTACTTTTCAAAGACAGGTAGACAGCCTTGTCCAATAATTAGTGAGCAATTAGGTCTAATACCTCATTCATGATCCCTGGCCTTCCATAGATATGCTCAGTTCAAAGGGGGTGGTACCATCCATGCGCATTCAAATTCCGTGCACTGAAAACCTAACATTAATTCCTCCCTAACCACAAATTCCTTCAAGCCTTTCTCAGGAAAAAATACTCATTTTAATGATTCAGGGACAGGCTGCATTAAAAACAACATTCCAGCAAAAGCCTCAAAGACCACAAAGCTATTTCAGAATTCTAATRTTCCACATAAATCCATGCTTATTGTTGCATTTCCTGTGCTGTGAATGACACTCAGGACATGATCATCATCAAATAGTACTTACCTGAATTTCAGCATTAGAATATGATACTCAGAACTGTTTTTATGGTCTTCAAACCCAAGACTTAAGAGAGAGGCTATCAGGAATTCATTTGTGTTTGACTACTACATCATCATGCAAACTAGCACTGTGAGCAGCCCTGCCCATGGTGGCCATTAGCCATGATGGCTGACACTAGTTGTTTACCAAGTTCAGTAAACACCTCACCTACAAGGCAACTTGTCCATTTATGTTAAATTTGCTCTTTAGGGGCTGGGGTTGTGGCTCAGATGTAGAGCGCTCACCTAGCATGTGAGGCACTGGGTTCAATCCTCAGCATGACATAAAAATAAAATAAAGATATTGTGTCCACTTATAACTAAAAAATAAATATTCAAACAAACAAACAAACAAAAAACCTGTGATCCTCTTAAAAAAAATTTGCTCTTTAGCAGAATCCTACTTAGCTAGCTAGCTAGTTTTCAGATATCCTTTCACTGGYGATCACCTGAGAGCTTATGACAGTGACCAAACTAGTTTACCCTTCTTTGGAGAAATTCAAAAGCTGTCTATATGATCATAATAAAAATCACAGGCCTTTCATGTGAACATATAACCAGAAATGAATTCAGTTTTCAATCAGTAAAATTTAACAAAAACACTCATGTTCCTCAGAATTATAATTAAATGACCTCATATTTTTCTCAGAATTATTTCCAAATCATTTCATGAGTAAATTTTAGCAGTTAATTATTTTGGTCACACATACTCTTGAAACCTGAAGTTGCCCAGGCTGGCCTTAAATTTACATGTGTATATCACCATGCCTGGCTTACACTGATACGTCTTTCTTAATCTAGTCCAATTCCATGAACATTTATGAATATAAAGACAATTTGTGCATCTTAACAGCCTTGTGATTTGGGAACAAATTATTCCACTTTTCTACCCTTAAATTTCCTCAATGGCAAAATGGTAATAATACCTCCTRTCTATAAAATAAGGCCTCTGAAGTATGTGCCATAACATCTGGCATGTAGTAATTGTTCAGGAAACAGAATGGTGAATGATACATCTAAAATATATTTTTATTTATGTAATATATATTTTCATAATCTAGTGTGACTACAATAACCACAATCACAATAAATATTAGTGCCAGCAAAATCACAATAAATATCTGGGTGCTTGCTTACCAGTGTGCTACACACCATACTAAGTACTCTGTAGGTATCACATTTAGACTACATAGCACCTATGAGAAATATGTACGATTATCTCCACCATTAGGCAAACAGAAAATGTAAGTCATAATGAGATTAACATAACTAAGACCATACAGTTAGTAAGTGGAAGAGCAGAGCACAGAGGACAATGATGATCTTTATGGGCAATAGGGGACAGCAGAGAAGATTTCCTAGCAAAGGGATGGAAGAGTTTAAAGGGACTTTTATTTAGAACTAATTTCAATAAAATCCAGTGTGATTTCTAGAGGTCCATTATCGAAAAGAGTTATATTACATTAAGACAATATTTAATTTATAATAAGAACTAAGCATATAATTAATTTATTTTCTAATTTTCAAATAGTCTGTATGGGATAGTCTRGAAATGGCTCTAGAGATGACATTTCACAGACCTGAAACCTTCCTAGAAACAATTCTCATTATCATCCTTTTGATGCTACTATGGAAAAATAACTCTGTCCCATCAAATCTAGTATAGATTTGAGAGGATACAGAATTATCAACTTTAGGGGGAAGAAGCACAGGTAGGAAGGTACAACATCATCCTTACAGATTGTGGTGGGTCACCTTCCAAGATAATCCCAATGATTCATGCCTTTTGGTGTCCAAGCCCTAACGCAGTCCCTTCCCACCCTGGAAATTGTCAAAATAATGGTATATGACTCCAAGGCTAAGATATAAAAGACATGTGGCTTCCATCTTGCCCTTTCTCTTGGATCACCAGTTCTAACAGAAGCTGGCTATCACAATGTGAGATACAGAGAGGTCCACAAGATGAGTGGTAACTAACGCCAGTGCAGATCTGCTAACCACATGAACAAGCCATCCCAGAAGCAGATCTTTCAGCCTTAGGCAAGCTATTAGAAGACGAAAGGGTTGACATTTTATCTACTTTATGAAAGACCCTAACCATACAGCTAAGCTGCCTCTGAATTTCTGACTCACAGAAACAACATTTATTCTTGCTTTAAGTTGCTAAATTTTGGGGTAACTTGATATGTAGCAACAGATAACTAATACATATGTATATATCAAAGAACTTAAATGCCATTTAGGGTTTGTGTTCACAAGCCTACGAAAGCATCACTAAGTCCCTTAGATGTATACCTAATAAGCTGTATAAAACAAGATTATATCAGACGAACAGTTGTTTTTCCATGAATGGTTTTGGTTCTAAGGCTTTTATATCAGACATTACAAAGGGAATTTGTGCTTTCATTTTTTTTTTTTTTTAATTTTTAAAGAGATAGGGTCTTGCTATAATGTCCTAGCCTTGAATTCCTGGGCTCAAGTGATCCTCCTATGTCTGTCTCCTGTGTAGCAGGGACTATAGGTAGGTGCTACTATGCTTGGTAAACCCAATTTTTATTCCATGTAATTTCAGAGGTATAAACAAGGACTTGGGTAATGCCATAGTAAAGCCAAGGGTAGAACCTGCAGCTGCCAGGTTTCTAGCTGAGTCCATGAGGTTGAGATTTTTAKCCTACATAAAATTTTATATGTAAAATTCTATATCTGCTACACATATACTTTTTTCTAGGATATGATTCATTCCCCACCCCCATCCCCAACCCCAGATTCTCAGAGGTCTGTAAGTGTTGATAGTTCGGGAAACTGTCCCACCTAGAAGCTCAAGTCATAAACTCAAGAGTTCTTGCCTTGATTCCTCATTGCCTCTTCACTGCCCACCCACAATAAATATCACCAACTCCCATCCACTTTTCTTGCACCTAACATGATTGATTAAACATGTAAATGGAGAGTGGAAGGAACAGTGAATGGAAGGTCTCACACTTAAAACTGTTGCCAAAGTTTTAAATAAAAAGAAAGTAGAAATGAAGGAAACATGTTGGGAGGACAGGACAGAGAACAAACATAGGAGGTGGGGTTCCAAAGGCTCTGCTATCATGAATCAGTATTACAGAACTGTGGGTTTAAAGATAAAGCTTTTTAATTTATAAAAATGATCATGTGGGCTGGGGCTGTAGCTCAGTGGTAGAGCCTTGCATGTGTGAGGCACTGGGTTTGATCTTCAGCACCACATAAATATAAATAAATATATTGTGTTCGTCTATAACTAAAAAAATATTTTTTGAAAAAAAAATGCTCATTGTATGGTCCAGTGGCAATGACAGAAATGTTCTATTTGCATTCTCCAATAGGGTGGCTCTTAGCTACATATGGCTACTTAAAGTTAAATAATAAAAATTAAAATTTAGTTCCTAATTTGCCCTAAGCATGTTTCAAATTCTCAAAAGATACAAAAGTATTAAATATTATACTTTATAATAGAAAATTATAAAGTAATTTATAATTACTTTATAAATAAATAATAGAAATATTAAAATAAATTAATATTTCTATTATTGGCATATTAGCAAGATAGAATATTTTAGCTAATCAAATTAGCTTTTTTGTATTTACACGTACAAGTGTGTAAATACACTTGAGAACTTAAGTATACTTTGATTCCTTTATTATACTCTTCCCCAAACCAATCTTTCTGAAGCTGATTTTAAGTGTGTTTCCACTCACCAGACAAAAATGTTTAAAATGTTTAAAAATGTCACATGACAGGTCAGCTCCTCTAAAAGATAAAATTTTGATAGTTTGAGATGTATTGTTTATTATATGCAGCTAACTTAAGATGATCCTATTCAAGCTGTTCCAAATAGAAATGCATCTATTGTAAAACCACGTTTTGGATATTAGTGTCATTCCTGGTACAGAACAAACAAGACTATCATAAGAATCAAAGTATAGCCTAAGCTTATGTTTAATTGAAGTAATAAACTATACTAATGAGATCGAAGTTTCACCTATAAGGAGGCATCAATTTTCATTTTTTTCCTCTTCATAATCTCTACTATTATTTTGTTAATTTTGTGTATGATAATAAGGGAAAAGGAGAGGAAATTCACCTTAGGAATGCATCATCAACTCTTTTTCCTATTCCTAGGAAAGATGTGGCACAAGATATCAAGCTAGCCTTTAGTCAGGAGTCAAATTCAGATGCCTGAAGCTCCAACCMTCCAGGATACACATTTTATAGATCAAGAAAACAAATAAAATACTTATTAGTAAAGTTCAAAGGATTTTCTCCAGGTAGCATGTGCTAGTGGAAATGGAGCTAAAAGAAACTTTCTTTATAGAATTTTCCTGGAAGGTAGGACATGAATGAGAATGAAATCTTTTTAATATTTATTAGCAACATTGTAAAAATTGATTAAAAAGATTAAGACTGGAGAGAAACTGCTTTATTTCAGACAATAGGAGATGGATTTTGACCATTACTGTTGAGTACTAAGAATTATAATGAAAGATTTTTTTTTTTATTTCCTGCAACATAAATTCCCATAAGCAAATATGGTCTGATCTTTTTCAATGTGACAACTAAAAGAAAATGGCGAAAGCTTCTGCCACCATTTTTTTTTTTTAAAGGGGGGCACCAAATTCTGAGCCCCTATTTGTGTTACCTATTATGTTTCTAATTTCATGTAAAATAGCATCCAGCCATTCTCTGGAGGAATTCAATTCATTCAAGAATTAGGGATTTTCAAAATATTTGTAACAACAGTGATTCTCATGAAATTAGGCCTTGTTATTAGCTGGCTTACGGACCAGCAGCACACTCCAATTCTAACTTTGTAGTCTAGACAAGAATCTAGTCACACCTGGAGCTAAAACTTGGTTAAATGTATTTTCATTATACCTTTAGCCCTTCCAAATGATTAAAAATTATACCAATCTATATTGTACACTTAAAAATTTGCCTCCTCAGTATATTAATATCATTAACATTCAGGGGATAGAAAGAACTATAGTGAAATATCCTAAATAGCATTATATTGTACAAACTGTTTTCTGTTATAAGCATCTCATTTGATATATATTAACCAAGAAATTAATTAGATATTTATATCTTATATATAAAGTATATACATGAAGTATTTATGGAATGCTTTTATCTTGTGCATTTTGGAACTAAAGCAGTATTTTATTCACTTTTACTCATTTGGTTGTGCCTTTTTGGATATTTAAATGAAATTAAGTGTTTATACTTATCCCATGAAATGAAACAGGGGTAATCATCTTTTTAAAAAACAGAATATATTTTTATAGAAGACACTTATATCCTCACCTGAGGCTGCTGTGGCATTTGTAGGAGTGGAAGCAGCTGCTTGAATTCGGGCATGAGGAGGAATAAGGATGGTAGCCAAAGGTGGATTACTTGACAGTTCTAGAGAAGATAAGACACAAATATTAGAGCCCACTCTTAAATGTATATGAAATTATTGTATTATTAACAATAAGATACCAGTCTAACAAAAAAAGAAGACATAACGAACCTACATCCATCTCAAACCATATCAATGAGCTAGTAATCAACTTACACAGTAAGCTCCCAGAAACAGAGCTTATTCTATCATTACTCTTGTTATGATATACAAAAAGGTGCTATCTGCTAAAATTAAGATGTCTGAGAACTAAAAGTTAGAGAGTAAACATATTAGTAAGATAAGTTTCCATCTTGCATTGACTTAAATATGCCATCCAACTCTGGTAGTACTTAACTACAGGAATTGAAAGTGAAGGTTTTATAACAGGGAATATAAGTGCAGTCTATTTTGTGTCTGTATGTGTATGCACATGTACAAGTATATGTACAGGCTAACCCACCCAACTATCTAGATACTACTAAAAGCAGGATTTAAGAAACATCTATTTAAAGTCTTATTGCTTTTTTAAAAAATATTTTTATCCAATTATATATATATATATATATGCATATGTATATACAGAGAGAGAGAGATACACATATGTTGTGTGTGTGCCTGCGCATGAATGCATGAAGCACTAGAGATTAAACTCAGGTGTAGGTATGCTGTAACACAGAGCTACATCCCCCCCTTCTTTTCATTCAAAAATTCAATCTTTATTCACAAGTATTTTTTGAGGGTATTTTTGTGTGCTAAACTCTTCTAGTGCTGGATTACAGATTTAGACAAGCAGACAAGGACTAGATGCCCCACTAGTATAGGAGCTGGATGGTTCACAACTTGAATATGCTATGTGACAGCAGGTCATACAAGGTCAGGTGGTGACAGGCTTTGAGGAATACTGTGAGGCCAGGGTTGGGAAAGGTGGCCATTCCCATTTCTGAAAAGGCTGTTACAGAATATCTTCAGGGATACAATGCTAAAGTTCTCAGGAGACTTCACAGGGTATGACTCAGTATGGCAGGAACCAATGCTTATTTTTTTTTCCCTTTTATTCCCAGATTTCCCCAGTTCTTTTTATTTTGAGACAGGGTCTAAGTTGCTGAGGCTGGCCTTGAACTTGTAATCATTCTCTTTCAACCTCCAGAGTACCTGTGATTATAGGAGTGCACAATGTGGTCATCTCAATTCTATATTTTTTAACTTAAAAAAAAAAAAAAAAGACTGCTAGCTTTAAGTTGTGAAATAGGCTTTTTACCTGTATGTGATAAGGCTATTTCTGTCCACTGCATAGATTAGCTTTCTTTAAAGAATCAAGTTCTGTACAGGTACTTAAGAAATAATTATTTTAAGGGTTTGGAGATTTAGATCAGTGTCACAGTGCTTACCTCCTAGTACAAGGCCCTGGTTTTAACCATAGGAATTAAAAAAATAAAAATAAAATGGATTGAGCCTAATATTGTGGATCGGACATGTAATGGTGATGCGTGCTCTCTTTCTCTCTAATACACACACACACACACACACACATACACACACACACACACACGCTATATTTTTGAAGATCCTAAGCTATTTTAGTCAGTCAAATTTCAACATACAATATTTTACTTAGGCAAACAAGCAAATTTTTGGTAACTGTAATGGCTTAATATCTTTCTGATTCTAGGCACATAAAAATATTAATGTAGTATGTAATAGTTATTCTTAATCAACCTGAAAGAAATTTAGATTTACTATCCCCAGTAAAATTAAAATCCTCTAAAACAGGCTTTTAAAAAATTCATCTATCCATCCACCTCCCTACCCACACACCCATTCATCTAACACTGAGCATAAAATAATATGTTAGGTTGCAGAATACAGACAGAAAAAAGACAATCATCCTTGTCTGGTCAATGAAAATAGAAATGTACAATTGAACAAGCTGGCAAAAGAAAGGCATTCAACAACAGAAAAAAGAACAGTGGAGTAGACAAAGGGGAATGAAAGTGAGGGGAAGAGGGACAGAATAGGGAAAGACAGTGGACTAAATCTAACCTAACTTCCCTATATACATATATGAATACACCAGAGTGATTCTCACCATCATGTACATTCTCAAGACACTAATTTTAAAAAACTACTATAATAGCAAAAAAATCAGTAAAGGAAGGGGAACAGGGAGAGGAAGGGGAAATATTAGGGGCTGAATTAGAACAAATTATATTTCATGTTTTTATAACTATGTCAAAATAAATCCTATTGTCATGTATAACTAAAAGAACCAATCAAAAAAAAAAAAAAACAAAAAACAAAAAACAAAGAAACTTGGTGAGACCCTGTCTCAAAAAGGGGATGGGTATGGGTATGTGGCACAGTGGTTAAGCATCCCTGCATCCTTGGTGTTATGATTTGGATGTGAGGTGTCCCCTAAAAGCTCACATGTGAGACAATGCAATAAAAGTTCAGAGGAGAAATGATTGGGTTATCTTAGCCCTGGTAGGGTGTGGCTGGAGGAGGTAGGAATTAGAGTGTGGCTTTGGTGTATGTATTTGTATCTGGAAAGTAGAGACTTTCTCTACTTCTTGATCACCATGATGTGAGTTGCTTCCCTCTGCCACACACTCTGCCATGATGTTCAGCCTTATTTTGAGCCCTCTAAAACTGTGAGCCTTCAAACAAACTTTTCCTCCTTTATAGTTGTTCTGATCAGATCCTTTAGTCAGAGCATCAAAAAAACTGACTGAAAAACCTGGGTTCAATGCCTGGTATAAACAAACAAACAGAAAAGATCTCTGACCATATGTTCAATATATAAGAAGAAACATGAAAAGGGAAAAGATTACCTGAGATTTTAATGCATGACAATGAAACAAACTACTGTCAAGATAATCTTCAAAATAAACTGGATATCAGTGATTAATGGTCACTTTCCTTATGGTTCACACTGTTATTTTCTCCTACTCATTTACATTCTCTTACCAGATCCTTACACCTGTCCTTCTGTGTATCTGCATGCCCAGCTGAGAGCCATGATGGTTTTCCATCTTAGTATGGGGTAAGGGTATGTATAATGGTGTGTATACTGTCATTCTGGCCTTGGATAGGGAGACATGGGTAGCCCATAAAGAGCAAAGAGAAGAAAATAAGAAGCTCTGGGATCTTGGGAGGTTTTGCTACATCCAAAGACCTGGGAAAGAAGGATAGGAGATAGAGAACTTTTTTGAGTCAAACACCCTAAAAGTTAATAGTTAAGTTCTAAAATTTTAATCACTGCTAGTTCTACATCTATCCAACTTCTATACTCCATTGTTCTTTTTCTCTTCCTTAATTATAAGCATTCCTTAAAAGATCCACTGCTTCCATCTGTTGGTTATTTTCTACCTTAAAGAACTTGTAAGACAAGATAATACAAATCGAAGAAATGATTTACAGTAGAAGGGGTAGAGAGAGAAAAGGGGAGGGGAGGGGAGGGGAGGGGGGATAGTAGAGAATAGGACAGACAGCAGAATACATCAGACACTAGAAAGGCAATTTGTCAATCAATGGAAGGGTAACTGATGTGATACAGCAATCTGTATACGGGGTAAAATTGGGAGTTCATAACCCACTTGAATCAAACTGTGAAATATGATGTATTAAGAACTATGTAATGTTTTGAACGACCAACAATAAAAAAAAAAAAGAAAAATGCAAATTAAAAAAAAAAAAGAACTTGTTAACTGGCATAGCTTTTGCTTATGTGAATGAATGAAGAGGCCTTCTTAAACTTCTGCTACAGTCCTGTTCTTGTCACGAGTCTGTACCTTTTATGGTGAGAGATCAYGGGCATTTCCATGGGACTGTTACAATTAGTCCAAAATAGCTTCATTTGTTTTTCACTCCCAACAATTACTACCTACTTTCAAGCAGTCTGTTTACTCATGGGAAAAAATAAGGAAATAGAGGCAGCAAGTGTGGATACAAACTGCAGTGAAACAACAAAAAACCAGTGGCATTTTGGAGGAGAGAAATAGCAAAGCAAAAAGTCCTTATCAGGATCAAGAAGTATATATATGTTTGAAGCAGAGAAGAAGTGTGAAGAAATTGAAACTGAAAAGTATGCTACTATTTGCTAAGCATGAGAGTAGGGAGAAAATGAAGGGAACAAGGAGGTTCAAAATATGAAAGCAGGGTTAACTTTGGAGAACTGAGAATTCAGAAACTAAAAGACAGGCAGGGTCTGAGCAGACTAACTAGTACCTTAGAGACATTGTTAAAAACAAAAACAGTAATAGGTTTCAAAAGACTAGAAAARTTAATGCATGATAAGAATTTCTTCAATCAACTGGAGACACCAGGAAAACAATTCATCAAAAAACCAGCATATGCAAGGCCCTTAAATCTTTCATATTTAATGACAAAGAGAGAAAGGAGTGTGTCAAAGGTCATGAATTCCAAGGTCTAGAAAAGTCAGACAGTTCTGATATTCTCTTGATGCTCAATCTTCAGCATCAGAAAAAATAAACAAAACAAAAAATAATCCTGCTAACATTTTGAACTCTGGAGAATCAGTCTAAGGCTTTCCTGTACTTATTTATATCATTAATTTATGTATCTCTAATATGTTCTACATTGGAGGCTTTAATTTCTCATTTTTTTCTTTGTCTTTATGGAGTCAATTCATTTTTATAATAAAAAATTTGGAGATAAAACTTAAATATTCTTCAGTCCAACTATATAATGACAAATGATGATGACGATGATTTTTAAATGAGAAAACTCAGGCAGAGATAGTCTTTGGCCAAGGTCTACAACTAACAACAACTATTCTCTAGTAACTAGTTAGAGGACACTAGACATAGGTGATTTACTCTTTTCACATGCAAAGCTGCACTTCATTATTGCCTTGGTATAATGTACACCACTAGTAATCTGGTTTTTCCTGGAACTCTATCTGCCCAAACTACATAAAGAACTTTTAGTCAATGTATTAATTTTCTTGAGTGTTCCTATACCATTCCACATTCTTCTTAGTAGTATGTCTGAAGTAGTACAG